GTGCCTATTTGCCCATAAAAGAAGTTTTCTTCTATACTTCATAAGAAATGTGTTTCTGCAGTGTAAAAAGGTTTAACAAGTTTTCATGCCCCTTCTTTTTTCTTTTTCAACAATTAAATGAAAATTGTTGAATACTATAAATTATTATTAAATACTGAATTATATATAAAAAAAGATAACACATCAAATTCAAGTTACTAAAATTTAATCTAAATAGTTTAAATTTGCAGTACAAATAATATAATTTTTTAAATAAAAATTCAAATCTAAGTTTTCCAATATTAATGGTTAGAATCTTCTCCCAAGTCTTAGTAACAAGACACATTTTCCAAACTCTTTGCAATTTAGTGGATCCAAAATAATTTTAATTGACCAACAAGTATACAACTCAACTAATAAGGTATTATGTTAACTTAATCAGTGGTCTCATATTAGAGACTTCGGTATGAAGCTATGTTAAATTATTAAAAGAATAATTTTAATTGAACAATATACGGTATTGGTAACGACTTCACTATTCTATAAAAGCCATAATCCTTTAAAACATTATATATCTTCCCTATTATACCATTATTAAATATTATTTTATATAAATACTTTAATAATAATAATTAAAATTCAATATACATCATTTTTTAAAAATAAATAATAAATGAAGTGGAGGTACAAACATAAAATCAAAATAATAATTATAAAAACTATTCAATGTTACAAATTTTAAAGCACGCAACGTTTCTAAGAAATATCCAGTATTATGATCAGAGCCAGAAATTTTTTTTTTAAAAAAAAAAGTGGGACAGTGAAAACAAAAATTGTTGAGATTGAGCCGCAACAACAAACCCGCGGCGGAAGACCTTGTAAACGGTTTTTGTAGTTAGAAGACTCTGTTTGATTTGGTAAAGGGCCCATTCTGGCCCAAACCGTGTTTTCTATTCCCTATGGGATTTCAGATCTTCCATTCTCTAATTCCTTTATGTATAAATAAATAAATAAATACATCAGCCGCGCCACAAAAGATGCCTTGACTCTTTTGACAAATAAAAAGTTGTCAAACAAGCAAATCTCTGTCGGTCTCTCTAATATCATTGACTTTTTGACTTTCACCTGGATACTTTTTACTTGATTATAATAAAATTTAATCCTTTATTTTTTTTTAAAAAAAAATAATGATTCTTTGTTTCATTTTCATCTTTATAAATTCGCAAGTAAAGTTTGCAACATGATTATCATCTACAGAGTGGTGACTCAGCCTATAGGAGTGATTTTGTTATCTCTATGTCTTTCCTTTATTTATTACTGTTGTGACTCATGAAGCACTGATATATTTTGGGAGAATGAAGTTAAAATTTTAAAATAACGGATTCAATGCAATTGGGTTTCTGGAAAAATTTTATGAAAAATTATTTGTAAATTTTTATTTAGATAATTAAAAATTTAGAAGTTCTGAACCTTTGTTTGCAATTGAAATTCCTGTTTGAAAATGTTTAAATCAATATTTGTAATTTATTTTTAAAAAAATTTTGTCAAAAATTTAACTGTCACAAATTCTTAATTATGAGATTCCTGTTGTTTGTTTGGATCAATATTTAAAATTTATTTTTTTAATTTTATTGGGGATTTAACTGTCACAAATTCCTAATTCTAAGATTTCATTATCATTCTCCAATATATTTTCGGCAAAAGTTGAATAAAATAATTAAGACAATAAGGGCGTGTTTGATTGTTTTTTTTCTGTTTTTAAATGTTATTTTGTAATATAATTTTTAGAATTGTTTTTCAAAACAAAACAAAAAACTGTTTAATTATGTTGATTTAAAAACAATTTTAGAGTTAAAAATTCGACCATAATGATAGTCATTAATGATTAATTATGTTGGCTTATAATAATAATTGAGGCTTTTGCACAGATGGTCTATATTATAAGACCAAGTAAAAAAAACCCTATCCTTTCTTAAATTTTAAAAATAACTTTTTTAATATTTAGATTATAATTAATTTGTAAAACTGTCCTTTTTAATATATGCTTTTTTCAAATTTCAAGAGATTGAAAATACAAAAAATCTTTGAAACGAGAAAGGTAAATGCGAGAGAGAAGACGAAACTTGACACGAAAAAGACGAACATGAAATAGCAAAGTAGTGTGAATAAACCACAATCACGACGGTGAAAGACAAACACGACGTGAGGTACATCGACAGAACAGAGCACACCGGTGGGAAAAATGGAGCTATAGATTCATGATTTTGTATTTTATTAGTTTAGGTATTTGTTCTTTGTGATAAACTAAAAGTCTATATTTTTTTGTAGATTATGGTTAATCTATTTTGGGCAAATGATTATGTGTTTTTCATGTTACTGATCTACGATACTACATTATTGATATACGATTGTATATCAATTATAAATAGATTTATATTTGATTGTCTAATTATGTTGATTTACGATAGTATATCAATGATATACTATTATATATCACTGATATATAAGCTATATCAGTGAAAACTTATCAATTTATTTATCATTAATATACAGTCATATATCAATAATGTAGTATCATAAATCAGTAATAAAGTTTCCTCTTTAATATCTAATGTTCTCTTTATAATGAAGAAAAACAGAGAGAGAGAGAGGAAAAGCTCTGCAATGAAGATAGTAACCTAGGCAAATTAGATCAAAAATTTTGATGGAAAAAATATTAAGAGATGATAAATTAGAAAGGGAGCACACACAATACGATTTTTGATGATAAAAATAAAAGATCAAGTTAGTTAAAAATTAGTTAAATCAAATACATTCTATTTTAATAATAAATTTATTTTGAAGATAAAAAATAAAAAAATACATCTAATTAATTTTATGAATGAGTCATATTTCAAATTATTCAAAAACCTCATCCCTAATTTATAAAACTTATATTTTTTGAGATCATTGAGTTAATTTTCTCAATAAGGATTTTACCATAATTGGAATAACTTTCAATAGTGAAATATAGTGTATTTAAAAAAAAATACTTGAATTGCTATTATGTGATTTTTTTCTTGTACCTAATATATATATATATATATATATCCTTGACTTTTTATCCAAAAAAATGAAAATATCTTTAAATTTTAATTTTTTAAAATAGAATAATTTTAAAAACATTTAAATCTAAATCATTTATTCAAACGAGTTTTTTTTATTTTTAAAAATGAAAAAACAGTTTTAACAAACTCAAACATTCCCTAACTATCCCCAATATATTCTGTCAAGAAACAATAAAAATCAACACTATCCATTATTAATGAATAATTAATAATTATTAACGTATATTGCCTTAGACTACAATATAAATTATTATTAACTAATTTATGTTTATAAAAAAAGTTGGTTAAGATTTTTATTTTTTAAAAATTTTCACATCTTTTCAGTCATACTCTAGAGAATAATAAATATAATAACTGACTTATTCAAAATACCCTTATTAATTACTCAATAAAAATTAAACACCTATCTAATGCCGTATATTTTAGACTAAAAATTGTTTTTAAAAAAACAACTTATATTTTAGTTTAGAATGAGGATGGAAATAAGTTAGGCTAAGCTAGATTGTGGTTAAATAAGCCTGAGCTTGTGTGATAAATCAGAGATTTGAGCTTAGCTTGAAAGTTATTTAAAAGCCTACTTAAAAGTAATCTTTTTAAATAGGTTTGCATTTTAATTTTAAATATATTAAATATACTTTAGGACCATTATAGTATGTAATATATAATCTAATTTATCAATTACAATATATAATAATTAAAAAATTTAAAAATTACAGTACAATATAACAATAAAGGAACACCATTAAAATTAATATTTAACTCCAAGATAATTGAAAATATAAGCAAAAATAAAAAAAGAATAGATTGATTAAAAATTAAATGATAAAACTGGTGAGTTTGTGATATATTACATAATATATGTATTTATAGATAAGCTAGCCTTTTAGGCTTATAGGTTAAGCCTAAAAAAATAGGCATGACCTCTTTAACTAAATTGGCCTAATTAAAAGCCTAAGCAGATTGATTGTATTGGGAATTATAATTCCCCCACTTAGTTTTTTAATATAATTTCCTCTTCTACCAAATAAAATAAAATAAAAGTTTGAATTTAGCCTAAGCTTATTTAATAAATAGACTAGGTTAGCTTGAGATATGATAGAATGTAGCCTATTCTTGCCCCTAATTCAGAGGGAGTAATAAAACTTATATATTTACAAAAGAAGATAAGAGAGAGTGTGTGTGTTTAGTTTTCAGTTTATATCTAGCAAAAGTTTATTCTAACTATTTGTTGAATTTGGCAAAAGCATATTCTATGTATGGTTTGAATGTTACCGAAACAGGCCCTTTATCTTCCATCATGATACTAAATGAGGATAAGTGTAGTTGATCTGGCTCACTCAAATTCCCATTTTTCAATCTGACAAGTTATATCATTATCATCCACGCAATTTCGGAAAATGGTTTCTAACTCCATGTGGCGCCTGCAACTTATGATAAAAGTAGAGCCATGCAAGGAATTAAAATTCTAAATTAAAAGGTTTATTACTTTGAATTATATATTAAAATATATTCTTAAAATATCTGATATACAAAACAATAAATAAGGCACTGCCCTGTAATGTCATGCTCCCAATGAATGCCCATATTGAAATGCCTTTTAACCTTTAATGATGATGATGAATGGTGACTATTTTCCAAGATTCTGAAGCACACAACTAAGTAATCAAACAAAGTATTGAGGGTTTTTGTTTTCTTTTCCCCTTGATTTCTTGAAAATATGAGTCGTGAAGGCTTCTTCAATGCAGAGCATAACTACTAAGAATGGAAAGATATGAAGAAGCATGAAAATTCGTCAATCAATGAAATTTCCTTTTTCTTGCTCTGTACTATGCTTGGAGCCAGGTGAAGGTAGCTCATAAAAGAGCTTCTGAGACTTGATAGGAACGTGGAAATGTAGCGATATAGTTAGAGGAAATGGCTAGTGAAATACTGAACTCTGAATCCCAGAAAACACAGACACAAGAAACAAAACTGAGAAAAATATATGTGAAGGCTAACCAACCAGTTACTCTCAAGGTATATTCTGTTCCTCAGCTTCTGTCTTTCATTTCTCTGAACTAACTGTCAAAACAAAACTGTTCATCTATTAATTTTCTGGATTGTTTTTGAAGTTTGAAGATGTCGTGTATAAGACCAAAACCAGGAAAGGGGAAAGCTGGTTCAACAAAAAGGCAAGTTCTGAGGAGATGATCCTGAAAGGTGTTAGTGGTATTGTTTTACCAGGAGAACTGCTAGCTATTTTAGGCCCTTCTGGAAGTGGCAAAACAACTTTTGTTGCGGCTTTAGGAGGTAGACTCAGAGAAAGTATAACCAGTGGAAGCATAACCTACAATGGCAAACTCTTCTCTAAACAAGTGAAGCAAAACATGGGTTATGTTCCTCAGAATGATGTCTTCTACCCTCACCTCACAGTCAGTGAGACGCTAGTTTTTACTGTTCTTCTTCGCTTGCCAAATTGTCTCTCCAAAGAAGAGAAAGTCTCACATGGAGAGGCCATTATGGAAGAGCTTGACCTGACCCGTTGTAAGGACACTATAATGGGAGGGCCGTCTTTAAGAGGTGTTTCAGGTGGAGAATGGAAGAGGGTAAGTACAGCTCAAGAACTCCTGACTAACCCAAGTCTATTGCTGGTTGATGAGCCTACTTCAGGTCTTGACTCAACTACAGCCAAACGACTTGTGTTGGTTTTGTGTGAGTTAGCACAAAGTGGAAGAACCATTGTTATGACTATCCACCAGCCTTCTAGCAAGCTATTTTACATGTCTCAGAAGGTTTTGCTGTTATCAGATGGTTATAGCCTTTATTTTGGGAAGGGAGAACATGTGATTGATTACTTCTCCAACATTGGATGTGTTCCACCCTTAGCCATGAACCCTTCAGATTTCTTACTTGATCTAGCAAATGGTAAGTATATATCAAATTTTTACCATGGAAGGATGTTTTTTTCTTTTTTTTACTAGAGTTAGTTTGTGAAGACAGATAACCAGGCCAATCATGAATATAAACATGTAAATATAATAGTTTGGTCCTACTGAAGTGGACTAATTGGGGCAATGAACATTTTAAGTTAAATTTAATCTTTGCTGGCTCAAGAATTTTGCATCAAGAGGAAGCTCCTGAGTAATTTGTGCGGCCACTGAAAACTCTTATCTATAACTTTTCAAGGTATATCTTCTGGGAATCCTAATGAGGATACAGGAGCTGTAAAACAAGCATTGTTATCTGCTTTTGAGCTTAACCTTGGCCGCCAATTGAAGATGGCACTTCAAGATTCCATGGTTCAATTCCAAGAGACTTCAATAAATAACAGAGATAGCCAATGGTGCACAACCTGGTGGCAGCAGTTCACTGTATTGCTGGCAAGAGGATTCAAGGAAAGAAAGCATGAGTCTTTTTCAGTCCTCAGAATCTGCCAAATCTTGGCCATCTCTCTTGTTTCAGGCCTTCTTTGGTGGGAATCCAGATTTCAAAACATGCAAGACCAGGTATTCTGATGCATCCCCTTTCCATTTTTATATTGCACGCCACAACATTTTTATCTTCTAACATCATCCAGAAACTATAGCCAAAGAGTCAAAAAAAAAAAAAAAAACCATTGCCAAAGAGTCAAAAAACCATTGCCTATTACAATTGGCAAAGTTTTTTAGACATAGTCTAGGCGGCTATTACCTGTTCTGTATGGCAACACTTTTTAGGTAGTTTCCATTATATTGCATCAGTAAAGTAGTTTGGCGTATTAAATCTGTTCTTGTGCAGGTCTCACTGCTATTCTTCTATACCCAGTTCTGTGGATTCTACCCTATGGCTCATGCCATCTTTACTTTTCCTCGTGATCTTGGCATGCTAATAAAGGAAAGGTCATTGTGCATGTACAGACTCTCATCTTACTTCATGGCTTTCAATATTGTGGACCTTCCAATGCAGCTATCCCTCCCAGGAACTTTTGTCACAATCACTTATTGGATGGGAGGGCTAAAAGTGAATGCTGTGATCTTCTTCCACACTCTATCTGTTGCTCTTCTCTATATATTAGTAGCACAAGGTCTTGGACTAGCCATTGGTGCGCTGATTTATAATGAGAGGGCTGCTGCAACAGTTGGATCAACAGTGATGACCCTGTTTGTTCATGCCAATGGCTTCTATGTTCAGGACATGCCTATGATTTTTGGTTGGATAAAGAAAATATCACCTAGCTATTACTGCTTCAAGCCCTTACTGGGGTCACAGTTCAATAATTGTGATACTTACCCTCGTGGAGGACCTAGTGTGACCTGCTCACTTGGGAGCCATCCTGTGATTAAGCATGCTGGTCTTGACAATCAAGGCCTTTGTGCTGTTGCCTTGGCTGTCATGCTTGTAGTGTATAGACTCATTGCCTATTTTGCCCTTAAGATTGGGATAAAAAATAGAGACCTTCTCTGTTGAAGATTTCAGTGTATTCATATTAATAAAGAAAAGGTGATATGTTGAAAGTAGTGCATAATAGCAGGGTTACAGGTACTATATATGGCCCTGAATCACTGTATGCGAGTATCAGCTGCACACATGTTCTGATTAATAAGGCAAGTTATATTTAATAATTAGCAGTGAATTATGATCTCAACTCTTTCTTCCTCGTTCAATAGCGATAAGTGAACCAGAAGTTTAGTATTGGATTTTAAAAAAACTCAGATTCTTAATTACAAAATATAAATGATGCAGGGGATATTATAAGTAATTATCTGGTATCTGCAGATGAAGTTGTATAATTCCATCTTTAAATATTACAGATTAGTGAGTGAACCTTAATTACAAAACCTGTCCCAAGTATAAGAATTCTGACTTATACCCCTCAGTATATATACACCCCAGTAATGGCTATATATATATATATATATATGGTGACAGATAAGGACTTGTCCATTGTCAATTAAAATTGTCACAGAGGATTTTGAATATACAGAAGATGATGAAAGGCAAACAAGCTGGCCGGATTGGATAGGTGTGAAATGTTGTTCAAGACAAGTATCACTCTTTTTCAAAGTAGGCATTTAGCCTAATTTTATCATGTCATTAAGGCTATATAAGTATGCATTAACACATGGTCCTCACGAAGTTTTCTCTCAACAATGACTATAAGTCTTCCCCTACTAATATTAACATACTCCTTCTAGTCTTATTTATAAATTATTCTCAGTATGTTTTATCATAACTAAGGAAGACTTTAAGTTCCATTAACTTTGTCTTAAATTTTAACAAATATTCACCTTTATCTCTAATAAATATTCTTAAATCTCATTATATTTTTATTCAAAGCATTTAATAAGGGCAAAAATATAAAGAGTAGCATTGAAAATTGACAAATGCCCTATAAATAAGACTAATTTTTTTCTTTTCTCTCTACCTTATAAATAGGATAAGAGGAGTATATCATTTAAAACTAATACTATATGTGAGATTTTTCTATAGCTTTAGTATCAAAATAAAGAAAATTAATAACTCATAGGGTCAATATAATAATGAAGCTAGTATTAGCGTGCCTAATAAATTCCGTCATCATCAATTCTAAAGTGGACAAGTGATACAGATGGATGCACCATGTGGCCAATGGTGTGTTAACGTCACCGCTTAACAGAGATTTGGTACGAGAGGTTAAGTTAATGAGACTTGTCATAGAGTGCAAAACCAGTTTGTCCATCTCCATAACACATTGATGCAATAATGGCCTCTCCTGGTATTGTTGATTTTGATGAGTCTAATATTGGAAAAATTATATTTAAAAACCCAATAAAAATATTTTAAGGAAATTATTACTAGGTCTTAGGAAATTAAAGTTAATTGTAACAAAGCAAAATTATGTCTTTGGTTCTTTAACATTTTTTGTTTTTATATCCGGGGGTCTTATGTATTACTGAATCGAATAACTATTCCTCACCGTGATTATGATATAATATCCAATTAGGGTTTTCATATATTTTATGTTATATATATATATATGGAAGTCAAAACTATTTGCTTTATTAGGCTAAAGCATGTGAATGCACATTCGGCATGTGTCTGTGATTGTATTTTTGGTGAGTATATGAGATAAGAGATAGCTTGTGACCCTTTGGAATTGATGTGTCAAACTAAAAATTAAAAAAACTAGGACTATACCCAAATGGAGAGGTCATCCAATTTGTCACTGTCCAAATCCTTGCAGAGAAAATCAGAGAGGAAGAAAGTTGAAGAATCTGATGTATGTTTTTATTCAACTGAAAATGAAAAGGAAAATAATGGGCCAATATTGAGGAATGAGGAGGATCTAACATATAACAACTTTGGTGCTTATATTTAGTGTCCAATTGTATTTCGAATATGATTGTTTTTAATAGAATGATGCTTGTGAGTTAAAAAAAAAAACCCTTGGTATATGATGGAAAATTGTTCTGTGTTTTGTTTTTTTAAAAAATTAAACTCCAAGAGGATATTGATAATTGAGATCCACTTTGAGAGTACGTATGTATGCTAGAATTAGCAAGCTATAATTACCTTTTCAAAAAATGCATAATGTTGACAAGCCAAAATTAAATAATATATATAACCCCCACATGTTTTCTCTACCATTTTTTTTAAAAAAATAAATTTCATATGTTTGTTTGATTAAATGGTCAATCAGTAGTGCTGACCATGAAGGGCATGAGATCATGACAATTAACTTCCTAATGAACAACAGTTTATCACATAATATTTGTTGACCTCCACTAATTATATCTTTGAAACCATAATAAGATTTGAGAATATATAATTATAAATTGGTACATTGTGTTGACATGTATTCATCTAAATAGAAAAGCAAAAAAGAGCTTGATGGATATATATCCATGGATATAAAATTTAATTAGATGATATTCTTTTCGGTACTATTTATAAGTCATTTATAATATGTTTTACTAAAAATAAAGAAAAACATTATTTAATAAGTTTTTAACTTTTTTATATTAAATTTATATATTTTAATAACATATTTTTTCTCACTAATATTTAATGAAAGGTAAAACGAAAAATTCATAACAAAAATTGAAGTACACAACTTATAAGACTGACAAAAAAATTGTTCTCTCCCTGCGTTATAAATATAAGGAACTGGAGAAAGTATTGCTTTGATGGCATAGTGGTTAATCAGGCACTGAGATTTGTGAGAATAAACCATAGTGGTAATTGCTTCTCTCTTCAACACAAGGAGCAGCACAAAGCAATCATATCAATAATAATTTGTTTCTCATTCTATTTTCAGAGAAAAATTAATTAATTTCTAATTAATTGGCTTCTCTAAGTGGCTTCCTTTTTCAAAGAGATTATAAAAATATCGTCGATAATACACACTTAATTACGTGCATACCCTTGTTTTTTTTTTTTAAATACTTCCTTAGATCCGTATTATGGGATGTCTTTTTTTTGTTTGTTTTTCACATAAGACACTTGATAAGATGTTAATTATATTTTTTTAATATTATCCTCACTTAAACTCATTAACTATGTGAGGAAAAATAAAAATTTGAAAATCTTTCTTTTAAAAAGAGGTAAAATTTAAAATTTATTCAATTTTTATATAAAGTTAATAATTTAATTATTTTTTCTTTTCTTGATTCTGAAAAGGTAGTTAGAGGTTGTCATATAATAGGGATGGGAGGGAGTAAAATTATGGATTATGCATTAATATATTATCTGGATTCTGGACAACTGCACAAGAAATTAGTAGAAACTGAGAGAGAGATATTATCCTCCATCTCTTGGTTCGGGTAATCTCCACTTATCTTAGGCTCAATTTTTTTTATGATAGAGTCAATTATGAACACATTCAAAAGATTTTTAAATTTTCACCGTATATTAAAGCCATTTAACGTGGACAATTGCTTACAATTTATAAATGCATTGAGTTCAACATCTTCCAAATTAACTTGACCTTTAAATTAACAACCCTCATTTTTCTATTCATTTCTTTAGTTAATTAATATGAGACTCTTCGCTACATTCTAGTTTTTTATTATTAAGCTTGGTTGCTTACTTCCACTCTTCCACTATATTTCTTTTTTCACTTATCAATGATATCTTCACTATTTCACATTGAAAATTAACTTCACTTCAATCCATTCATTGCATATTCCTGTGATTTGACCCTCTGAAGCCGCTATATTGCCTATGGTATTCAACCTTAACAAAAATCATTACATTGCATATTCCTTTGATTTGACCTTGTGAAGCCACTATATTCCTTAAAAAAATTCCTTCGAAAATTATTCACCCATTTCATCGTATTCATCGAGCATGGACTATGGTAGTGAAACCTTACATCATCGGCCATGTACATATATCCTTAAACCATTTATAACCCCACAAAATAAACACAAGTATATATCACGCCAAAGAAGAACAGCACATGCACACGTGCCATCCATCTTCCCTCTCCTTTTTGTTTGTTCAAAGGTCTTTTTTTTTTTTTGCGCTGATCTCTCAATTAAAAGTAATTCAGTAAACAAGGGTCAGGATATCATAATTTATAATGCTTTCAATTCGAATCTCATTATGAATGTAAATAATTTGTTAATCAGTACATTTATTTTTAATCATTTTTTAGTAGTTGGATCTATCTTGACTTTGAACTCTTGAGAATTGACATGCAACTCATGGAGGGGTTTTTTTTTTATTTTAAAAATGTATATTTTGAAAAGAAAAATTTGTGTGCGCTCTCCGTTTTGTGGTGGAAGCGCGATGGGTGTGTGAGTCAGAAATATGTGTGTGTAAGAAAAGCGTGACATCAAAAGCGTATTGGGCAGTTCCAAAATTAAACTCAGCTCTCCCACAATACCCGGGCCCACACATCCATCCTCACTCCTCTTTCTCTCCTTTGGTCCCCACTTCCTCTCTCTCACACGTGTCACACGATCCTCCACCCTCATTGCCACGTGTCACTTTCCCGTGTGCCATAACAATACATTAATCAGTGCCCACAACGACCTCGATCGACTCTTCTCACTCACACAGAGGCTCTTCTGATTCCAAATCTTCAATTCAATTTTTAATTCCCAGTAAAAGAAAGACACAGGGAGAGAGATTCAAAAAGAAGAGTGTGCGCGTGCGCATGAGATTGAGATAGATCGGTAAGCTTGGTGGTGGAAGTTATGGATAGCACCGATTCATCCTCAGGGTGTCTTCATCCTCAGCTTCCTCCTGGTTTCCGATTCCATCCCACCGACGAAGAGCTCGTCGTTCACTACCTGAAGAGGAAAGCCGCCTCTGCTCCGCTTCCCGTCTCCATCATCGCCGACGTCGATCTGTACAAGTTCGACCCCTGGGAGCTTCCAAGTACTAGCTCTCTCTGACTCCAACACGGCCCATCTCTTCGTCCCTTCCATTCATCAATACCCGCTTGGTAGTTTCTGAATCTCTGTCGTTTCTGGGTTTTACAGGTAAGGCAGCGTTTGGGGAGCAAGAGTGGTACTTCTTCAGCCCGAGAGATCGGAAGTATCCGAATGGAGCAAGGCCAAACAGGGCAGCTACTTCAGGATATTGGAAAGCTACCGGAACGGACAAGCCTATATTGTCGTCGGACGGACGAAACCAGAAGGTCGGCGTGAAGAAAGCTCTGGTTTTCTACGGCGGCAAGCCTCCAAAAGGCGTTAAAACCAATTGGATCATGCACGAGTATAGGCTCACTGATAGCAATTCTTACAATAATAATTCTATCCCTAAGCTTCCTCCAATGGCTTCCGATAGTCCTCCGTCTCAATCTAACAAGAAAAACTCCTTAAGGGTACTGTATTTATATATATTTGTGTGTTTGCTTCGTTTTTCTCAGGAGGATTTCTGATTCTGGACATGGTCTTTTTTTTTTTGGTAGCTTGACAATTGGGTTTTGTGTCGAATATACAAGAAAAGCAACAGTAATGTGAACACCACTCTGCAGAGGCCGCCATTGATGGAGCAGGAGAGGGAGATTTCTATGGAGGCTATGCTTCCCACCATCTCGACTTTATCAATGGCTAATACTGGTAACGCCAATCCTTCATTAGGACTTGAGAATGATGACAACTTCTTCGATGGAATTCTCGGCGGCGGCGATTCTAATGATCATCACTTGCTGTCTTCAAACTCATCAAGATCTAGCAGTTTCCTTCCAGTGAAACGACCCCTTCCGTCGCCGTTTGGGTCTCCGTCAGGGTCTTCTTCGTCGAACAAGAGATTCCACGGTGATCTTAACGGCACCGGTGGGATCAGTAATACTTCAGCAGATGAGAACAGCTCCTTCATTTCTCTGCTGAGCCAGCTTCCTCCTCCTCATCAGAGTAGGACGACGTTTCACCACCCTAATGCCCTTCTCGGCGATGGTGTCTTGAGACAGCAGTTTCAACTTCCGAGCCTGAATTGGACCTCATAGTGTGCTTTTGATTACAGGGAGCCGCCATTAATGTAGGTATGTTTCATGCAGATCTTAATAATTAGTTCTTCTTTTCCCTGTAAACATATATATGACATACAAGAAGGAAGAGACGTCTCTATAGATATAAGCTTATATAATTACCATTACATTGCCATGGGGGAGGGGGAATGAAAAGAAAGAAACATATAGGGGGATATCTGGGTAATATGTGTGTGTGTGTGTGTGTGTAGAATATATATACCTGCATTAATATATTAATTACTTTGTTTTTGAGCAAGGAAATTATGGTTTTTCTAATGTTAATTCTGTTTTTGTTCATAATAATTATTAATCAAATTCATCACTTGAGAAATAATCGCAATAAGGTTTGCACAGATAAACATCAGCTTCTGCTTGTAATTGCCTAGCTTGTGCGCATATATATATATATATATATATATCTTATAGATACGACGAGAGAAAAGTTTCTTTCGAGATGTATATATATCTTATCTTCAAGCTTTGTGTGCGACCTTTTTGGTACTTACCTCAAGAAGTGACAATATTGTCAAATTCCATGAAAATGTCGATTGCATGTATAAAGTAGCATGGGATTTTGACTATATGTAAATTCAAGCAAAATGAAGATGAAAATGAAAACCCTCATAGTAAAAGATCGCAAAGCATAAATCGTGTTTAGTGTTTGAGTAGGAATCTTTTCATGGCTCTACTTATGCGGAGGCCCCACCAATTCATTTTTGATAGGTGTGAATTTTTTTTTAGATGTGCTTTTCGGTTTTTTGGGGGCCATGGTAGATATGAGTTTTCTTCTGGAACAACACATTGTTATTCTCCAAATTCATTTCAAAAATTACAAATTAATTATATTATATGCTGACGTATATATATGATTGTTATAGGTCCAGCTTAACTACCTCAAGTCAAACTATAGTAGAATATTTTACAATTTCAAATAGAAAAAGCAACACTAGTACTGCATCAACATTAATTAGATATAATGAATAGTTTCTAGATGCTGTCAAAAGAATTATTATTTATATAATTATTTTCTATTTTTTTAAAAAAAAATCAACTTTTTTGGTGTGGCATACTAGAAGTGTTACTCCAATTCAGAATCCAATAATAATAATGAAATCAGAATTAATCAGTACGCACGTGGCATTGTGTCAGATATTAGATAATTATCACCCCCTCTATCCCAAATTATATACAGTGGTTGGGAGGAATTTTTTGTCTCAAACTATATCATAATATAAAAAAATTTTTAATAATAATATTTTTTAATATTACCTTTTAAATGAGGAGATAATTGAAATAATATTATAACATAATTATTAATTATGTAAGAGTATTTTAAAATTTTATATTTTTATTTAAAAAAGTATGTTGGTAAAATATTATTATTTTATTTTATTGGTATGTAAAATTTTATTTTAAATTATTTTATAATTTAGGATGAAGAGAACATATAAAAAGAATGTGATGGTGTCATAGCTTTTATATGCAAAATTGGTATGGTTTTATAATCAAAATAAAAATTGATTAGCACTAAAATCTTTATGTGTGAAGGAACATAATACTATCTTCATTTTAAATTATAAGACATTTTTAAAAAAATTAATATTTTAAAATATAAGATACTTTGATAGAAATAAAGTTTTATTAATAATATTTTTATATTATTTTTTTAATATATTCTCTCTTTAATATTTTTTGAGCAATGAAGTATTATATAAAATGTTTGTTTAAAAAATTTATATTTTTATCTTAAAAAAGTAAAAAAAAATACCGTGGCCAGTGAAGAAAATGGGGAGGCATGATCCTGATACTTTTTAAATAATAATACAAATATAAATTAAAGCATGCCACATGGGATTATAATAATCTGAAGGAAAACTATCATTTAAAGACCACTGTGTGATATTTATGAGATAAGGACTAAATGATTTCATAATAGCTTTGCATTCCTCTGGTCCTTTTTACATATTAATTTCATAAGCAAAAAGATTGAAATGCCCTTCAAATAGTTAAAAGAAAAAAAAAAGAAATCCCACTATTGTTGTTCGTTGGACCACCATCGGCGACGAGATCGCTGGTGACATTTTACTTAAGAAATAAGGTTTTTAGATGGCTAAAAGAAAGTTTGATGCCATGACCGTTGGCCACCTAAAAAGCTACAAGCCTTTTAATAACATATACCAAAAAAAATATAAATATAAGCACAAAATCACTTTCATGTAATAACATAATGGTATGTTGTTAACTGCTGAATGGAGCTTGTTAATTTACAAATGTTACTTATTAATCTGACGTGAACAATTATAAATTGGAGGCTTTAAACTTTATTCATTTTACTTGTTAAACATTCTAATGTATTGTTGTCAATCATGAATAGGTTGTCAAGATCAAATGAATACTTATTAATAAATGACTAACACGTACAATTAAACCTTTTTTATTAATTTTTCTAAGTTATTAAAATCATAATATATTATTGTTAATTTTAAATAAATTGTCATTATTTTATAAATGTTATTTGTTAATCTAACGTGGACAATTACAAATTAGAGGCTTTAAAACTTCACTCATTTTATTTGTTTAACGTTTCAATGTATTGTTGTCAATTACGAATAAGTTATTGTCAAAACAAAACGGATACTTGTTAATCAATGATTAACACATACAATTAAACACTTTTTGTCAATTTTTTTAATTTGTTAAAACTATAATAGATTCTTGCTAATTTTAGATAAACTGTTGTTATTTTATAAATGATATTTATTAATCTGATGTGGACAATTACAAATTGAGGACTTTAAAACTTCATTCATTTTATTTGTTAAACATCTTAATGTATTGTTAACGTCTCCAATTTGTAATTGTTCACGTCAGATTAACAAGTAACATTTATAAAATAATAATAATTGATTTGAAATTAACAACAATCTATTATGATTTTAACAAGTTAGAAAAATTTATATGAAAGATTTAATTATATGTGTTAGTCATTCATTAACAAGTATCCGTTTGGTTTGGACAATAACCCATTCATGATTGATAACAATACATTAGAATATTTAATAAGTAAAATAAGTGAAGTTTTAAAACCCTCAATTTGCAATTATTCACGTTAGATTAACAAATAATATTTGTAAAATAACAAGTTCTATTCAAAAATTAACAATATATCATTACGTTATTATATGAAAGTGATTTTGTGTTTCATTTATTACTTATATTTTTTTTACTATAACTTATTAAAGAGCTTGGTGGCTTAGTGGGCGTCAAGCTTTTTAGGTAATTAAGAGTCAAGAGTTCCACCTAAAAATCTCATTTTTTAAATAAAATATCACCATTAGAGCTCTGGTGACCTACCACCGACAACAGGAGCTCTGGTGACCTCACCGCTGGTGGTGGTCCGATGGTCCGTGATGGTGGGATTTCTTTTTGTTTTTATATTTTTAACTATTTGAGGGACATTTTAATCTTTTCACTTATGAAATTAATATGTAAGAAGGATAGAGCATTGCAGAGCTATTATGAAATATTTAATCTTTATCTCATATAAATATTACATAGTGATCCTTAAATTTTTTTTTTTGATTTGAATTGTTACATTTTTATTGGGTGGAGTATAAATGATTACTTGAGAATTAATCTTGATAGATGGGATTTTTTTTTTTGTTTTTTGTTTTACCAACGATAGATGTGATGTTTTTTTTCTGGGGCATGATGGATCTGAGTTTTCTTCGGAACATATTATTCTCTAAATTCATTTCACAAATTACAAATTAATTCTATGCTGACGCATAATATATGATTGTCCTAGCTAGGTCCAGCTTAACTACCTCAAGTCAAAGTTATAGTAGAATATTTTACAATTTCAAAGAAAAAGACCACAACACTAGTACGGCATCAACATTAATTATATATAATTATTAGTTTCGAATACTTTTTATATAATTGTTTTCTAATGTTTTTTATTTTTGAAAATCAACCCTTTTCAGGGGCATAATAAAAGTGTCACTCTAATTTAAAATCCAATAATAATAATTGAATCACAAAACCGTAAAATTTATGTTTCAGAACAAATTTTTAAGAACACTTTTTTAAAAAGCATTTCTATAAGTTGATGTGGAACTTATTAAAGCATTTTTTTTAAGTCCCCTATAAATTAAGCCTACTAGAACGTTTCATAAAAAAGTGCACTTAAAAATTTTAAAATTAAAAATTTTTAAAAGTGATAATCTTTAGGAACGCTCTTAGATTCTAAATAGTAATACTTTCCAGAGTGCTCTTCAGAATTAATCAGTACACACGTGATATAGTACTGTCAGATATTAGATATTATTATTATATAAAAAGAATGTGATTATTAAAATTTATTAGCTGGGTTAATTAGTTCAAACTAATGATGGATGTGTGACGAAGAATAAAGACGATGTCGTAGCTTTTATATGCAAATTAAAGTTGTGGGTATGGTTTTATAATCAAGACAAAAAATGATTAGCACTAAAGATTATTGAATTTTAGGTGTGAAGGAACGTAATAAATGAGTTGAAAATAATAATTAGAATAGGAATTATGACACATACCGACATGCAAAAGGAGAATAATTAATTAGTGGGTGAATTAGTGCCTGATCACCTTTCTATGTAATGACGTATGAATATTAATTGGGGGATCAAAATCAAAGTTTTGATGACTATAATATGAAAGCGCGTTAGGATTAGACGTGTGGATTTTAATTCGAGAATATATTATAATGAGAATTAATTACAGTTTGTGTGATTAGCTCTAATGTATCGCCATCGCATTGGCTCTCGAGAAAGCACCAATGTTGTTGTCTTCTTATCTTCTTCGTTGAAAATTAAGTCTCCCTCTGATGTATCGCCAAATTATTGGCTCCCACCACACCTTAGTAACCGCTAAAACAATTTTTTCCACATATCTCATTATCGCATGACGATTCATTTTCATGATTGTTATTAATATTTTTTGGCCGAATTATGGTTATTAATATAATATTGAGACTCAATTTGGCAATGAAATTATATGAACCATCAATATGGAACTTCTAGGGATAACACTAACCCGAAACAAATTAAAGTTTTTATAATTTTACATTGTTGATGCG